AGCACCACAATTCAAAGGCCTCAGTTCTTTGGTGCTCAGCCTTCCTTATGGTCCAACTTTCACAGCCATACATTGTAACTGGGAAAACCATGATATGAGATACCCTGCACCTCCTCCCCCCTCCACTTCCTGCCCTTCCTCCCCCCTCCACTTCCTCCCCTTCCCAGGAGCTGTCAAAGTTGAAAGGTGGAGAGGCAGAGAGGTTATATTCCCACTTGCCTAGCTTTAGCCTAACATTGCATAGGAATCTTGAAATCTTGAACTTCTGGGACATGATGCTTATGATTTATGATTTTTCTGTTGGTTAAACATGAACGATGAAACATCACTTTAATCTAACAGGTCCACCTTTAATATTATTCTAGCCACAAATACTGTGTTCATCCATGAAGCCTCGGTTTCATTTAAATGGTCTTGGACTGGCATGGAGTATTAGCACACAATGGCACATCTGGACAGACCAAAGATAGCAATCATATGATTGTCTGATGTTTTGCATCTTCTGCACACATTTAAACAAATTAGCAATTGGATAGAAGTCTCGCATGGGTAAATGCTTTGACCTTGGTTAACATCTTGCCCTTGTATAACAAAAGTTTTCTAGTTTTACTGTTGCATGTAGCATAACACATTTATTTGAAGCCAACTGGTATTTAAGAAGCATTTTCTGGGTCTGATTTGTACTATAATCCATTTCATCAGAAGGATTGACTGCAATGTATGCTCTTTGTAGACTAAAGCTCTTATGGATAAACTTCAGAAGACTGTATCATCTGAGGGAAGATTTAAAAATCTCAGAGAAACGCTCAAAAAGTATGTCTCAAATTAATACTTTTTGCTATGAATATTGGTTAGTTTTGAAGATAAATCTTCAATTAACTTCTGTAGTGGAATAACATTGTAATACTGTCATATTCATGGAACTTAGGCACAATGTTTTGTTTAATGTACACCACAGTCATTATCCCACATAGATTTTTAAAGTGTCTGTAGAAATTCCAAGACATATTAAACTATAACTCTGTTTATAATGCTTCCTGCTGAAACTGATGAACTTTTCCAGTAAATGTATGACTGTCTTCATCTTTAAAAAAACTGCAAATTATCTGTGAAATTTGTATACTCAAGAAGAGTTCTGAGTTGCATCTACAGAATCATCATTCTATGGTGGAAGGTTTGGGGACAGTTCTTTTAATGGGAGTTTGCACTAAAATGAGTGGATTGGAAAACAATGGTAGGCTAGTTGTGTAAGTGCTGATGTGCTTCGTAGATACACAGGACTGTAGCCAACTGCATCATTCCACACAGTCAAATAATGCTGCTGGAACTCTGCACAAGCCTTATGCTTTTGCAACATGTAGTATAAGCAACCACTTGCATAAGAGGAGGCATTGGATTGCTCAACCTGTTGGTCAACAAGTTGCACAGAACTTGTGGAAACAGGTTGCACAGTGCACATCTGCTTGTACATAACTCCTTGCACAAATGTAACTTAGCTGGATTGTACTCTTGTGCACAGTTTGGAACCTGGCTTCCACTATCTCAGCATCCTAACAGAATTAAACAGCTGGATATTGCCATGAAGATGAGGGTCCACAGCTGACTTGCTGTGTGATCATATGGTGTTACAATGAACATGCACCACACCATTTTGAGTTCGGTGGTTTTAAATAAATACTTAAATGTCATTACTACATTGTTTAAAATATTTCTTATTTTATGGGAAACCCTGAGGCAGTGTACAAAATTTAAACCTTAAAACATAAGGGAGCAAACCCAAGATGCTTAACTAAACAATATTAATATAATATTAAAATTTTACAGTTATAACCAGCTAGCACCACACCCAAAAAATCTAGTTCAAACATAGGCCAGAGTAAAAGGGTTCACTATGAGGGTACTTTCAAAGCTTAAGAAGGTTGTGATGGAATTTCACAAGCAGAGGGCCACTATGGAAGATCATGCTTGCTAATACAAAGAATACGGTCTGTTATAACCAGATCCAATGTCTATGCTACATTTTCTGGATAGACATAAAAGGAGCATTTTCTTCTCTTGTATAGTCACATAGGCCTTCACTGCTTCTCTGAAATTATTTATCAGAGATGCTTCTGGTGGGAGCATGAGAGAGGACCTTCTTGGTGGCCAGATCCAGGCTCTGGAACTCTTTGCTGAGAGTGAGGCCCATTTCCTGTTTAGTGGTTGGCAATAATGTTTTTATTCAGGCATGCCCTTTGCTCTTTTGCTAAAGGGTGTTTTGATTGTTTGTATCCTTTTGCAGTTGTGCTTTGAATTAAATTTTATGGATCTGTTTTTAAGGATCTGCTTTAATTAAGATTTCATTTTTAATTTAAATTTTATCATTGTTAACAGCCCTGAAAGCCATTTTAGGAAGAAAGGTGGGATATAAATTAATTAAATAAAAAAGTAAGTTATTTAAGATGGCATGTCAAATGTGTAACTCATGGAAGTAATTACAGATCAGCATTCAGGCACTGTTTTGTGTAACCAATGCAAGTAGATCACAGAGTAATTCATTTGATACAGTGGTACTTACTTCCCAGTAAAAATGCATAGAGTACTAATTAGGCTAAATAGGCTGCATACTATCAGGAGTCTGGAGTGCAAAAAATAAAATAGCCTACCTAATCCACAAAATAGTCAAAACTGACATTTCTTGTTGTGCAGTTGTAATCCTCCTTCTGTGCCATATCTTGGGATGTACTTGACAGACCTGGCATTTATCGAAGAAGGAACACCAAACTTTACTGAAGAAGGCCTCGTCAACTTTTCCAAAATGCGCATGGTAATTATTTTCTGCAGGGTTTTCCCCCAGGTTTCATATTAGCTTTGTATTGTAGCATTTGGAGGTTTATTATTGGCAGAATTAGAATGAATTGTTTGTATCTGCATCCAGGGTCAATGTTCTATCACCACCTGCTGGCAGATTTTGGAATATCAGTGTTCCACTTAATATATATGCACACTTTCTGTTTGTACTAAAGAAAGCTGAAGATGAGCAGTTAACTCAGCTATTTTATAAATAATGGTATGTAGCTAATGGACCTGCCCAAATACCATATTTGTTTAAAGAGCATTAGCCACTTGTGAAAGAACATGTTTATTTTCCAGGAAGCAAGAATGGCTGCAATCCTGGACACACTTACCTGGAAGTGACTCTGACTGAATTTGAGAAGAATCTAGTTTGGGGAAATATGTACTACATTTTTTCCTGTTGTGTTTTGTGAGATCTAGTAAAATAGCACATGGAGCAGTATAAAGGGGAAAATGGCAACATGACCTAAATAAGGGTATAAATTGATAATCAGACAGATTAGGCCTTCAAAAAAAGTATTTGTTGTCAGATAAATGCATTCCTCATTTTTTTTCTGGTGCAGTATGTGGCTTAAATCCTAAATTGCTCCCCAATTCACATAAGTGTGATTTCCAAAAATGCCATTACCCTCTGTTGGCATCTTCCCAATTTATCCAGTACCATTCCCAGGGTCCCTCAGCCCCCAGGAACAAATTTTTGAAGGCTCCAAAAGAACAAAAAGATGGCAAGAAAGGCAAAGGCTTAAACTCCTGGGTGGTACAGAAATGTAATAAACAAATAAGTAAACTCAGTTCCATTCACAGAAGGAAAATTGGGATCTAAGCTGTTATGAATAAAATAAAACAAGATAACTTTATTCATATTTATTCTTCAACAGATATCCCACATTATCAGGGAGATACGTCAGTTCCAACAAACTTCCTATCGCATAGAACATCAACAAAAGGTACAATACTTTCATCTCTTCCTTTGCACCAATATCAGATTTCTGTGGTGTGATAGTAAATGCCACGTTCACTTTTCAATAATTAGAAAGAAGTTTGTGAATCACAGTTAAACTCAGCATACCAGCCAGATCATTTGTTTTCCCTGAAAAGCAAACAAGGAATGTTTCTTTGACTGCTGTTGAGGGGTCAGGCAGCATCTCAGTGGTAAAGCACAAATTCCAGGATCTTCAAGTACGGCTAGGGCTCATCTGACAACTTATTTTCACATATTTGCACCGATGAAGCACACTTACATCTTTCTGACACAAACACCATCCATCAGTGAGTTTACGTATGAGAAAAGCAGTTGAAATGTTTCTTCTAGAAAGAGATGGAAATTCCTATCAAGGCTGTATACATTCTAACCAATGTGATATAACAATTATTGTCTATTGTTGTTCTTCCAGGTCACTCAGTACTTACTTGACAAGAGCCTCATCATAGATGAAGATACATTGTATGAACTATCCCTAAAAATTGAGCCCCGATTGCCTGCCTGAGAAGTCAGTCTTGCCCTTCAATCTCCAGACATCTTTAGTGTAATGGAAAAATTATGCATGGCATGCCCCTACTGAATGCAAGGGGGGGAATGCAGAGAATTCAAGTTCCCTTTCCAATTAAGGGACACGCAGCCCTTCCTTTTCAGAAATGGAAAACCAGCTGTTGGAGGTGAAAGGCAAAATACCAGAGACACAGGTTCAATAGTTATTGCTTTGCAGAGATAACATTTAATGGGAAATAGACTGAGAGCTAATGAAGAGATGGCTGTAATAAGCCTACTGAAACTGGCAATAAGGGGCAAAAGGAAGTTTAACTACCATAGTCCACTAGACTGCAATACATGAGGAAATGCCAATGAAAAGAGGGAAGCTTTGTCTGTCCTTGCATGGATACAACACAATGAGCATGCAAGCATCTATGTATTTTGATCCTATTTGCATTGCATTGTGTCCATTATAAACAATAGGCTTTTAAGAAAAATATTTTAATCTGTAGTAGTGACAACAGTAGAATATTTAACAACATGGAGTGAACTGCATTTGTCATCTAAAACCATTCATTTTAATTGATTATAAATTATATATCTCCTTTTTCTAAAATTGTCAGAAAGCTGGTGACATAGATATGATGTATTTAAGACTACCTTAATATTGTAAATATGCTTTTCCTTTTCTATAAGTATGGTGAAGTGACCAAGCATGCAGATAAATAATCTGCCTTGCATGGTTGTCAGACAGACAATCTTAGGTGGGACTTAAAAGATGCAATCCGATGCATATTTAGAATGAAAAAAGGCCTTCAGCTTCCAGCTTTTCCCAGCCAACATAGCTAATTGGAGTATGCTGCAAGTTGTGAACTTTTTTTTTGTCCAAACTTTATAGGATTGTGCCCTAAGTATGATACTTGATTATTGTGGCAAAAGATGAATAACATTTCTACATAGGGCACTTATCATTTTGATATTTTACACTTTGCTTTGGCAAAACTTGAGCTATCTCTATAATATTTGTTAAAATATATGCCTCAATAGAAAGTGGCATATGTACCGTGTACAGCATATTAGTTGATCCTCTATTAACTTTGGAAGACAGTTCCATTCAAATATGCCAGTGTGCACACTGAGCGTCCCCCTCCACTGAAGGCAGTGTGAGCATCACAACCCTGTGACTGCCCATACAGAATAAGTCAGAGTAATTGTATGAATTTGTCATCTGTGAGTTCAAATTCTTGTTAGATTCTCAGGCTCTTTTGAACTGGTTCTGAACATTTAAAGTTGTCAATCTGTCAGACAAATCATGCTCATGCACAGCTAATACCTATCAAGACCACTGCACCTTGTACTGTGATGTGTGTTCAAGCACCATTGAGCCTTATTTAACAGTACACTAACCTAAGAACAGAAGGGCAGCCTGGTGGCATCAGACCAAGGTCCATCTAGTCCAGCATTCTGTTCACACAGCTGTCCTTGGGAAACCCACAAAGAGAATGTGAATACAACAGCAGCCTCCTGCCCAATTCCTGGGCAATTGGTCACATAAACATACTGCCTCTGATAATGGAGGCAGCATCCAGCCATCAGAACTAATAGTGATCGATGTTAACTATATGCGGAAAGAAGAAATACTTCCTTTTACCAGTCCTGAATCTCACCAGTTAGCTTCATGAGGCAATTCCTGGTTCTAGTATTATGAGAAAGGAGAAAACGTATCCCTTCCCATTTTCTCCACAGCATGAATTATTTTGCATACCTATATCATGTCTGTGACCAGTTCACATAACTGGATTTAACTTTAACTGAATTACCTGAATCAGCCTGAGGTCTCTAATCCTGTAATCTTTAGGCATGCAGTTGTCCTTACATGGATATGCACTGAAACTCCCTAATTTTTATTTTAAATATTTGAAAGAGGTGCATTTTGTCATCACGGAAGACTTTGAAAATCCCTGCTTACATGGAATTCCATGCACACATGATTTTGTAGGAATTGCTATTTAATTTGTACTTAAATTATGGATGTAAAGAAGACTAGAAATATTTATTGAAAATGAGGATAAAATAATTTGTCAACTTGCTGGAGAAGTGCAAACATATTATTAGCCTTTTTATTTTTAACAAAATCTGCAATGGCAGCAGAATTCTTCCTCACACCTACTCCCACTCACATACTGGCTTTCTAAGTGACAAAAATATGGGACACAATCCTCAGTGAAGATAAGCAGCTTTACCTTTAAATTTGATGAGAAGAATGTACTTAAATATTTGTCACTGAAATCAGCAGGATAGAAACAAAAATTCTGTGTGCTTAGCTGACATATTTTCACTTTTTTTCCTGTGTGATTCCAGATTAAAGGTACAGTCCTATAGCCTCCTGACATGGTTTGGGAAGCTATAGGATTATTCAGAGTCCCAGCTCTGAAATCCTGCAATCTCAGGGCAGGAACTTCAAAGGCTTGAACATAAGGGCATACGGTTTGCCGAATGTCCCCTGTAGCTGGTGCAGAAAAAAAATGCACCAGCTACCCCCACCTCAAGGTCACAACAGGACTTCTAGATGTCTGAAATCAGCTGCCTAGATAAAATACCTGATGTGAGGCATTGCTGCAGCAGAAATTGCTGCCACCACCCCTCTTCCAGGCATAGGATGCATGTAAGCCTCCAAGTCTGCACCATGGAGGCGGGACCTAGGTTTCTGCCCTAGGTGAAAGAGAGAGAGAGAGAGAGTGTGTGTGGCAATTCCAATGGTTTCCTAAAGAAAAGTAGTCTTTTCCTGAAGTTCTGAAAGGGAACACAAACAGTTTGTTAGAACACAATGCAGATGTTAACGCTGTTGAACAACCAGGCTGGAAAAGTGTCCTTACTTTTCCAAAGACTATCAGCCTGTTGACAAAATAGGGCTAAATAGCAAGATTTACCTCCCTTAAGTCCTCTCAGGAAGGAAGCTTGCTTTCTTTTCTTTTTTTAAGATTGCTACCCAGGTTTAACTGAACTGATCCTTCTTACAGTCACCAAGGGTGCAATTCAGCACCCTCTACTCTCACTGCACATAGGCAATCCTGTGTCTTGCACCCTGCATTTCCTCTGGATAGACTTTTCCAGCTGTCTAGATAGAATTGTGTAGAGGGGGAGGGAAGGAGATAGAGTATAAGGCATCAGCATCAGCCTCCTCCCCTCTCTGCTTCTTAACATGCTCCCTTCCCTCCTCTCTGAGGCTGAATTGCAACTTCGAAGGGGCAACTGACTTGTTCTTTCTGTGTTGGCTATGAGGAGTGTGGGGTGGGAGCTTGTCCTTCAGAAGCCCAGCACCAAGGGTGCAGGACCTTCAAGCAGGACTCTGAATAATCCTATGGCTTCCTCAGATGATGTTGGGAGGCCATAGGTTTGTGCCCTATGCTGCTAAATCCCGACAAGGGAAAATAAATCTGCCTAGCTTCTATTTGTTTGTCTTTTTGCACTTTAAATATATATTGCCAGCCCTGACAAGTGCTGAACAATGCATTCCATTTTTGTCTAACTGTACATACTAGCATTTGTAAATTAGCTGTGAAAGTAGTAAGTTTCATCCTTTCTACCTACTAAAGGGCCTATTTCTATAAATAAATGCATGAAAAATCAAAGAAGTTTTGGGAAATTCTCAGTACATTGAAAAAATAGAAACTAAAGCATGCTTAAGTACTTCTGCTTAATGAATGTGGTAGATATTAACATGAATGATGTTATTTATAGGTGCTTATTTATTATTTTTGCTAAAACTGCCTGTTCTTTACATGAGTGTCCAAGAAATAAAGCTGACTGCATCCTCATGCATGATAAACAGAAGCATGGATTATTTGGACCAACCAGTTAATTTACTATATACTATCCAATTAAAAATAGCAACAACCACACTATAAAGAAAGGTAAACTAATGTTAATGAAATATCCTTTTTACTCCTTTCTATTCCTTTTTTGTTCCTTTCTGTTCCACAGTCAGCTATCCTCCTCCACAAAAACCTATACTGCTCAAGAATCCTTTCCTGGGTGTTATTTGTGGTATACAATGGTTGATTATTATTTCACTTCATTTTCCTATATTACATTTTACACTACCAGCTTTGTACTTTTGGAGGGCCCTTTGCCCATGCTGGTGTCTAAGTGCAGCAGAAGGTGCATTTATCTGTTGTTCTCTTATTTATTTCACAACTTTAATTAAAATATGTTAATCCTGTTACTGTGCAGTCCTTGCTGTCATTGTTTCATCTCATCATTTCAAAATCTTTGAACTCACTGTAATCCTAATCCAATGATGGAAAATCATGATAGGAAACAAATTTCTACTATGGCACAGACACAAAACACGAACATCTATTGACTAGCATGTGTCTACCCTGCACTATCCTAAAATGACACACAATTAAAAATAAAACATGCTGGCGCTTCCTGTACGATGCTATCGTGGCAATTTAAATGGGCAACAAGTACTTGCTGAAATAAAGATCAGGAAAGCTGATAGTCACACTATTTCTCTTGATCTCCACAGGTGGGCAGGAGGAGGGGGAATAAAAGCAAAAAATACCTGCTGAAAGCTGCAAATGGCTTGGGTTCATGGCTGCAAAGTTCTTCCCATTGAGGAAAAGGGGCATGCCAGGGGATGGGTCAGGGACAGAGGCTGGAGCCACTGGCTTAAGACAATTCCTGCTGCCTCCCAAGCTCCTTCCCTCCTCCATGCTAAATCTAGACAGCCAAAAGTGGCCATGTGGGAAAAATACACAGTGTCAAGTATGGCAGCAGTGGGGAGGGCCACTGCTGCATCTCACTCCATGCACTGGATGCCTACAAGCCTCCAAGTTCAGAATTGGAGGGCAGTGAATTGTACCCTTAGAATATTATGTAAAATGAAGTGAACAATAATCAAGGCTGAGCACACTGGAGAAAAACATTAAATGTGTGGATGTAAAAAATGTAGTGAAAACCACTCATAGTGTGGTACAGCAGTCAAGCGTGAAGGACTGGGACTTAGTCCCCAATCAGGCATGGAGCTCACTGGGTGACTTTGAGCCCGTCACAGAATCTCAGCCCAAGCTGCTTTGCAGGGTGGTTGTTGTGAGGATAAGATTGGGAGAATATGTAAGCTACCTTGAGTTCCTTGAAATGAGAAAAAGGTGGAATGTCAGTATAATTAATAAATTTAAATATGCCACAGTGCCACAGGCATTCAACTCCAAATGTGTAGTGATCAATTACATTAAAAGCTGCTAAGTGGTCCAGAAAGTAACTGAAGGTTTGTACTTGAGCCAGCTTCTCCCGCTAGTCTTTGTCCCCCAGCCAGGTCCAAAGCTTATGTGAATCAGACCTAAAATATCCAGACACTACAGGATTGGCCCCTTAATACTGCCGTGTGTGGACTTCTCTATCAACTCTACATGTGAATGCCTTTTCTCTCAAAAGCTGTTTGGACTGGCTTAAAACTATCCTTACAACTTACAACTACAACTACGAAAATTCTTACTCTCCTTCACTATCCTACTATCCTTCACAAATACCAACTACAACTATGAAAATTCTTACTATCCTTCACAAATAACAATTTTATCATTTGCTTTTATGCAGCACAAAGAGCTAATTTGGCAAAAGAAATTCATGAGCAAAGAAAACTGTCTGCTGGTTACAATACATTTTGAATTAGTGCTATCTTTAATTTTGATCTTTCTTTAAAATTGTTACATTCTTTAAAATTATTTATCTACCACATGGAAATTGACAAATGGTCAGTGTAAGTGGTATCTGTGCATAATTTTGACAGTTGAGATTGCAAAACTTGAGGGATAAATGTTCGCCTCCTATAATGCAATGGATTGAGGACCTTATAACACTTGCAGTATTTGAACAGTGGCATATAAGCAAAAGGGTATTTGGTACATTTTTACTGAACCTTTATAAAATTGCTAGAAAACTGTTTGCATTCCATATTTATTCATTACTGTGGATATTAACAAATTTGGGTGCGTATATTAGAAATAGAAATAAATAAAAAATTATCTGGGTGTCTGTGAATGCCCTACTGGGGAACCCTTGATGGGTGTCACTGGCCCTGCCTGTGGGTTCCAGGGTGCCAGTGAGCACTGCACTAGAGACTGCTGCTGTAACACACTTGTGTGTGCACGTGAGTCCACCACCTCTGTAAATTTGTAAAACATCTAGATGGATAGGTTGAGTCAAACTGGTTAGAAATGGGCCAATGCAGAGATTTGTGAGAATAACAGAAGTCAGTGAAATCTGTACTAGCAATCAGTCCGTGTTGGAACTGGACTGGACAAGGAGGTAGAGCGTTGATTTGCTTTTTTCAGAGTATCCTATATTCTAGTAGTGCTGGAAAGTTAAAACTTGGACCTGTATCATAAGCTCAGCCAGAATATAAGCATGAATCAACTTTATATCTCTGAAATGCCTCAAGTCCTCAGGGTTCTCCCCCTAAAGAGAATAAATTCATGGAAGAGCTGGAACTTCTGAAACAGTTGTGGGGTACAAGCAAGTAACTCTCTCTCTCATATATATATATGGTGTGTGTGCGTTGCAGTCCAAATTGCTTGAGGAACAGGGGTGTCATTTTTGATTGCTCACTTCAGGCATGAAAGAAAATGTGCCTGAGGCCAGTACTTCAGAGGAGTGCTACCACGGTGCCTCACCAGGTCATACCCTTTGTGCCTTTAAGGGCAGACCTGATGCAAATGTGATTGGTCAGTGGTACAGATATTTCTCCCCCCACCCACTCTTATTTTGCTCCTCATGTGACCTGTAATTTTGTCACAGCATAAGCTACTTGTTCACTTTACACTCCTTGGCTGGAAGGCTCGTAGGCAGGACGTGTCTGGCTTCAGTTTCAAGGTCAGTTGGTCTTCTATCGGTTGATTTACCATTGGCACAGACATTTAAAATGGGGGGGGGGATATTAAACGCCTACTCAAAGTATTATAGAATGCAGCCTTTTGGGATATACAGTTTACTGATTTGCATAAGTGCTCAGAAAGCTGTGTCAGTGACCTGTGTCAGGACGCTGCTTCTGCTCCAGAGAGTGATACTGAAACCAATGTGTTAAACATATGGAAATAAAACCTGTCTCATGCAAATACCAATAACATTTCTACAGACAACCTGCAGTTTAGAAAGGTCAACACCATCCATAAATGTCTTACATTAACAGGAGAAGCATATTGAGGATGTTTGTTTTATTGCTGGAAAATAATTT